GGCGGTGGCGGCGGTGGCAGGTACCCCTCCGGGGGCGGCGGCGGCGGTTTCCAAGGTGGTTTTAACGGGGGTGGAAAGTACCAAGGAGGGGGCGGCGGAGGCTACCACCACGGACCCCCGGGAGGCGGGTACAGGCCCCCACAACGCCGCCCAGAGTGGGAAGGCGGTCACGGCGGCGGCGGCTTCGGCGGCTCTCAGAGCGAAAGCCAGAGCCAGGCCCAGAGCCAGGCGCAGGCCCAGGGTCAGGGAGGCGGCGGCGGCGGCTTCGGAGGCCACGGTTTCGAAGGCGGATACGGGGGCCACGACGACGGAGGATACGGCGGACACGGCGGACACGGAGGTCACGGCCACGGCGGCAGCAACAGCAAGAGCCAGAGCCAGAGCGACGCGTCGTCAAGCGCCGGTGAGTAGAGGCGGAGGGGGCAGGGGCGGGGAGCGGCAGGACAGTCAGGAGCAGCGGCGCGGCGAGGAAGACGCCTGCGGGGTAGGCAGTCCCGTGAGACGCACGCGCTCGGCGGGGCGGCCTACCCCGACGCTCGAAGGCGCTGGCGCCACGCAGGTTGTTTTCATGGTATAGGCAGTTTCGCTCACGAGTTAAATCTTTCAGGCATGCGCTTTATTTTTACACAAAAATTGCCGCAGCATAGTTCGTAGAGATGCATTAAATCTGTTGGTTACTGAGACTCGTAAAGGAGTGTATCTGCTCGCTCGCTCCAATTGTTGTTGCTGCCAACAGACGAAAAGTAACGTGTGCCATCTGTTTTCCAGGAGGTGGTGGTGGCGGCGGCGGCGGCGGCTATGATGGCCCACCGGCAGGCCCACCACCGTCCGGTGGTGGTTACGGAGGCGGTCACTTCGACGACAACGTGAGAGAGGTGTTCGGCGGCGGCGCCAACAGCAAGAGTGACGCCGCGGCATCAGCCGGCAGCAGCGGCTCTGGAGGCGGCCACGGTGGAGATGGTGGTTACGGAGGTCACGGAGGCGACTACCACGGCGACGGAGGTTACGGCGGCCACGGCGGCGGAGGGTTCGGCGGCGGTGCTGGTGGCCAAGCCAACAGCAATTCGAAGAGCGATGCGTCGTCCTCCGCTGGCGGCTTCGGTGGCAGCGGCGGCGGTGGCGGAGGTTGCCGAACTTGTGGAGGCAATGGCTATGGAGGTCACGGTGGAGGTGCCAGCTCGGACGCCAAGAGTGACGCCTCTTCGTCGGCGTCCTCTGGCGGCGAAGGCGGTTTCGGCGGTGGCGGGGGGGGTTCAGTGTTACACTAGTCATATGTTTTGTTTCCATGGCTCTCCATGCGAAGCAATAAACCAATCTTCAACTTTAACCAGAAACTTAAAAGTGGAAAAGTGGAAAAGTTGAACTACTAACGTCTTCATTATGTCTAAATAAAAAACGATGTGAAACATTTTTGGCGTGGGTGGACGTGTGGGGGAGTGTAACTCGCGGAAAATGGTCTTGTGCTCTTCCCCACCGGGCGAGAGCCGCCGCTTTAGCCGCTTTAGTACCCTCACTTTGGTCGCCGGCTGAACTGACGTCATTCGCCCGGAGCACTAATCTCACAACTCGTTTCCTCGCCTCGCGTTGGTGCATCAGAGGCAGAAAATATCTTCGAAACGAGAAGCCTTCTGCCACCGCGGTGGACCGACAGCCAAGGCGGCCTTGGGGGACGGCCAGGGGGGATCGTTAAAGAACGTCTCCTAATCCGGCTCGCGTCGTTTTGATTTGTGTCTGAAAGATGGCGATCAAGTAATTATTACAACCAGGGCTCAGTTAAGTAGTGGAGGCGCAGGGATCGATATGAGATCGACTAGGATCAGCGTAGTATGACGAATGACCCATACGGTGCGACGGCACGAGCAACTCTTCTTTATCGTCCAGGTTAACTTTTTTGAAGCGACGAAGTCCGCCAAACGTTCTCTCTCACACTCAAGCGCGCGTGCGCGCGTACACTCACACTCACACTCACACATACACTCACGAAGTCGAGACGCGCAAACAACGAAAACCAGTTCTGGCGATCATTTCCTTCAATTGCCGCCTTATCTTCGCAATTAAATAAACCTCGGCACGGCCGTGCGTCAGTGTGTCTCCCGCCGTCCCGTCTGCCCGCGTCCGCGAGCCTCGCCACCTATTTATTCTTTAGCAAGTCAATCACTGGTCCAACATACGCGTATTACATAGTTCCCACATCTTTATTCTTTCTCTTTGAAACTTTAATTGGAATCACAACATTCGATTCCATGTCGTTTTATTTATTGGGAGGGGAGTTCTCCAAAAGACTATCTGCTACCCAGGGGACAGCAATTTGTCACGATGAGATCAGTTGATGTCACTGGTCAAAATTTAATCACCTTGACTGTCCGAAAAATTACGTCATGAGAACAACATTTGATGTCTTTGTGTCATCATTTTTGGTAGGCAAGATGACCAGATTTTAGCGAGTGGCGACTAACAGACACTCGATTATGTTTTCATTTGGTTGGAATATGGCGATGTGGGTTATTTCGTTTACTTCGTATGAGGTTTACAGCCGTCTAGCCTAACCCATCAATTTCCTGCTGTACTCATACTGCATCGCATAGAGGCAATCGAGTAGATTCGGGTAGATTTGCCTACCGTATCTAACCATGGTACCGACGCGTTTGTAAGTCATTTGTCTCCCTCTGCAGACCGTAGCCGACGTCATGGACTTCTGGGAGGTGTCCTCGGGGGCGGTCTCCTCGGGGGTGGAAGACCCCTCCTCGGGCCTCTGTTCGGCTCGCAGTCTCAGGCACAATCTGAAGCCAACGCCAAGAGCACCAACCTCCAGTTCGGCAGCAACCTGGGCGGCCTGTTCGGCTTCAACGCCGGCCTGACCCAAAACGTGGTAAGTAATATACCGCGGGAAAAGCCTGAACAAACTTTGAAAAAACTGAATTGATGATGTTAATATTACCTCGCATTCCCTCTTGTGTACAGGCCCAGTCGTCTTCGTCGGCCGGCTCCTCCGCCAACGGCGGCGGCTTCGGGGGCGGCGGCAGCGGCAGCAACGCGGCCAGCCAGGCGCAGGCCTCGGCGAACGCCAACGGCGCCAGCGCCGGCTCCGCGGCCAACTCTGCCGCCAACTCCCAGGCTGGAGGTGGTGGCTTCGGAGGCGGTGGCGGACAGAGCCAGAGCCAAAGCCAGAGTCAGAGCCAGGCTCAAAGTCAGGGAGGCGGTTTCGGAGGTGGCAACTTTGGTGGTGGCGGTGGATTTGGAGGAGGTGAGGCAACCACGGCAAAGCTTCGCTATAGCGAAGCATTGGACAGCATAACCAACCACATTTGTGCACCACCTTCATGTGCTTCCTGTTGCAGGACCAGGCGGCTGTCGTACCTGCGGTGGTCAAGGAGGAGGCAACTTTGGTGGCGGCGGCGGTTTCGGTGGGCAGAGCCAGAGTCAAAGCCAGAGCCAAAGCCAGGCGCAGAGTCAGGGCGGTGGGTTTGGAGGCGGTGGCGGCGGTGGCGGCGGTGGCAGGTACCCCTCCGGGGGCGGCGGCGGCGGTTTCCAAGGTGGTTTCAACGGGGGTGGAAAGTACCAAGGAGGGGGCGGCGGAGGCTACCACCACGGACCCCCGGGAGGCGGGTACAGGCCCCCACAACGCCGCCCAGAGTGGGAAGGCGGTCACGGCGGCGGCGGCTTCGGCGGCTCTCAGAGCGAAAGCCAGAGCCAGGCCCAGAGCCAGGCGCAGGCCCAGGGTCAGGGAGGCGGCGGCGGCGGCTTCGGAGGCCACGGTTACGATGGCGGATACGGGGGCCACGACGACGGAGGATACGGCGGACACGGCGGACACGGAGGTCACGGCCACGGCGGCAGCAATAGCAAGAGCCAGAGCCAGAGCGACGCGTCGTCAAGCGCCGGTGAGTAGAGGCGGAGGGGGCAGGGGCGGGGAGCGGCAGGACAGTCAGGAGCAGCCGCGCGGCGAGGAAGACGCCTGCGGGGTAGGCAGTCCCGTGAGACGCACGCGCTCGGCGGGGCGGCCTACCCCGACGCTCGAAGGCGCTGGCGCCACGCAGGTTGTTTTCATGGTATAGGCAGTTTCGCTCACGAGTTAAATCCTTCAGGCATGGGCTTGATTTTTACACAAAAATTGCCGCATCATAGTTCGTAGAGATGCATTAAATCTGTTGGTTACTGAGACTCGTAAAGGAGTGTATCTGCTCGCTCGCTCCAATTGTTGTTGCTGCCAACAGACGAAAAGTAACGTGTGCCATCTGTTTTCCAGGAGGAGGTGGTGGCGGCGGCGGCGGCTATGACGGCCCACCGGCAGGCCCACCACCGTCTGGTGGTGGTTACGGAGGCGGCCACTTCGACGACAACGTGAGAGAGGTGTTCGGCGGCGGCGCCAACAGCAAGAGTGACGCCGCGTCATCAGCCGGCAGCAGCGGCTCTGGAGGCGGCCACGGTGGAGATGGTGGTTACGGAGGTCACGGAGGCGACTACCACGGCGACGGAGGTTACGGCGGCCACGGCGGCGGAGGGTTCGGCGGCGGTGCTGGTGGCCAAGCCAACAGCAATTCGAAGAGCGATGCGTCGTCCTCCGCCGGCGGCTTCGGTGGCAGCGGCGGCGGTGGCGGAGGTTGCCGAACTTGTGGAGGCAATGGCTATGGAGGTCACGGTGGAGGTGCCAGCTCGGACGCCAAGAGTGACGCCTCTTCGTCGGCGTCCTCTGGCGGCGAAGGCGGTTTCGGCGGTGGCCACTATCCTGGAGGCGGCCACGGAGGTGGATTCGGCGGCAGCGGCTCGAGCAGCGCGGCAAAGAGCCAGGCGTCCTCTTCAGCCGGAAGTCACGGAGGACCTGGCGGCAGCAAGAGCTCCAGCTCCGCTCAATCCGAAGCGAGCTCGAATAGCAGGGGAGGCGGCGCGGGCTCCTCCAGCAAGTCCCAGGCCTCCAGCTCCGCCTCCAGCGACTCCCTCGTGTTCGCGTAAAGAGACTCCAGTCTCCCTATGGAGAGACGCTAGGGGATGTGTATCGTCGCATCCTCCACAACTGTACTATTATTATTCTTTCCTTTTTCTATTCAGCATCGAAAATTTTGCAACTTCCTTGCTGAACTCGTTTACGTGCCATGAAAATTCTTGCGTCCACTCTTTCTATACTAATTTATTGGCTGTGTTGAATTGAAGAAATATCACATTCTTACCCCACATCGAGATGCGGGAGGATGCTCCTAAATGCACAACGGTTTGAATAGCTGGATGAGGCGATTTCTACGCCACAGTTTTGAAACAGCTGCTCAGAACTAAGACAACAATGCATACTGGCCGTTATGTGATTAAAATGACTGATTATAATACGAGTATTTCATAAAAATTCTACTGCATATCCCCCCCCCCCCCCGCTGACTTCTTGTGCCATTTGACAATTCTTTGCAACGTTGGCTGTTCCTAATCATTAAATCGACCACCCGAGCACTCTTTTTGTATTGGTAAACTACTTTGCCACCACAATATTCGTTTTCAAAAATCGTTAAAACGATAAGCAGGGAACAATGGGGAGGGAAGCACATGTTGTGATTAAATTAATAATAAAGCATCAAGCCGATTTTATTCGTTGTAAGTCAGGTCAGAAGCATCGTTTTTGGGGAAAAGAGTTGTTTCGGATCATTTTGGGGAGACGGCAGAAGGGGAGTTTAACGGCCGAAAAGACCGCCGCCGAGACCGGCGCCGCCGCCGGCAGAGAAGGAATTAGCGTTGGCGAACGACGCGCCACCACCGCCGCCTATGCCGCCGAAGGGGAGGCCAAAACCGCCGCCGCCACCTAACGAACCAGAGCTCCTGTGAATTTGGAAAAGAGAGAACAGTATAAGCTATTAGTTCATGTGAAGTTTAAGATACATCGAAATATCCTCGTAAATTTACGATATACTATACGACAACCCATTTTTGCTCGTCAAGGAATTCCTAATCGACACGTGCAGGTTGTAATCTTACAATTTTTAAATTGTAATTTTACCACACGCTTCATGGAAAATTTTCCCGTTTAACCTACTACTATTTTTCACAGTGTGCAGGATGTCAACTCCGAACACTGACTACTCCCTATCGGTATAACACTGGTACTACTCGCAAAAGTTTAGATAAGGATTAAAAATATTTCTTAGCAGAGCTACTTCTTTTCTCTTTGTTGTCTTATAAAAACCGTGGTCGTAAGGACACGTTGTAAACATTATTTGCTAGGTTGCTGGCACGCTTTGCTTACAATTTTCTGTATAAGTACACTATGGCTACATAAGAAATGTTTTGACAAACGCTGGTCGGTCAATGAGTTACTAATCGCGAAATCGTTTTACACTACTTAAAAATGACAAAAATTATCCCCCCTCCCCCCTTCTGCCTTCTGCCTACTCTACACAGTGCACTTTCCGTTCCGTACTTACGCTGAAGCTCCTGAAAGTCCGCCGCCAAAACCACCGCCACCGCCGAAGGGTAAGAACTGGGGGGCCGGAGCTGGAATACGAAAGAGGATAAAGTTAATAAATCGTACCTCACACTCAACACGCCGAAGTCCTGTAGCTTGCCAAAACTTTGGCCCTCCCTCTTTTAGATTTGCCAAATTTTGGCTGTCATTTGAAGACTGGTCATTTTTGGCCTCTTAGCTAGTCAAAATTTGGTCTTCCAAGCATCCAAAAGCTTGGCCTTCTTGTAAAAAGAGATGACATTATGACAAGCAAAGAGGGAAAAAATTAACAACGAATAAGAAGTGCCAAGATTTTGTGAAACTTTGCTGGAAAGCTACGTGACCACGTCATTTAGGGTGTAGCAAAGCTAATTACATTTTGACAAGAACTTTCAAACTTCACTCATTCTGAGAACTTAACAAAAACATGCAGCAACAGAACTTTCACATCTGTTGCGTGTGAAAAGAGTTAATATTCACCTGCGTTGGCAAAGGCAATAGCCAGCACGAGGAAAGCGACTATGGTCTTCATGATGGCGGTATTTGAGATGTGGTGGTTGTACAGGCCACAGGCCCTCTATAAGTACCCACCGGTGGTTGCCAACCCGAGCCCCACCCCAAAACAACAACCAGCCCCACGCGTGGCATCCCACACCCCCACCCCACGCCACCCACCCCACGTTTACTACCGGCTCTGCCTTTCCCCTGCCACTACACGGAGCCCGCAGGGCTGGAGGCCTCCAGCTTAAATGTACACCGGTGTACACACCAACAAGTGTCGTTATACTCTTCGTACATGCTACAGCTACAGTTAATCGATCGTAAATATCTATCAATCGCCCACTGAGAAATGCGATATCGATAAATATCTCCGAGGTGATCCATCTGCACGCAAAATCTAGCCTCCTCCGCAATATAGTCTTCCGGTCGCCCTCAACTCACCGTGGCCACTGGAAAATTTAAAAAGCCACGTGGACAGAAAATAAACACAATTACAGCGAAGAAGAATTATAAAACAGTATCTCTCAATGCCAGCAATGCTTTACATGTTGCAAAGCATTGCTTTGGAATTAAACAGTGCTCCCTCTCTCCCTGCCTCTCTGCCTCCGTCCCTGCCTCCCTGCACCCCCCCCCTCTCTCTCCCCGATGGGTATAAATGCCGGTACAGCTGCAGATTCCCGCCAGATCACCACAATGGCCGCTTTGGTGTGGTGTGCATCGGGTACCTATGTGTTATCGGCGCGATGGCGGATCCGCTTGGAAATCAGATGTTAGGTGGTGTTTATTGCACGAATTGTTTACTCGTCTATCTCATTGTCCGAAACGCTACGAGGGAGGCAATCGGTGGCAATCTTTACAAGAGATATAATAAAATTAAGAATTGTAAAATATAAAAAGCGCGACTCTGTCGGAAGGTATCGACTCACCGCATAACTCGACTTCAACTCGCACCCCCCCACTCCCACCTCTTTCTCTTCTTCTCCTCCCCTCTTCCCCCTCTCCCCTCTCCCCTTCCCCGTCCCTTCCCTTTCGGTCCATCAAAACAAACAAAACTGCCACTATTCAAACTGCACAAACACCCCATGACATCTACGTGACGCACTCTCTGCCCTGCTCACTCTGTTGCCCTAGGGCGGGTATAAATGCCGGTACCGCTGCAAGGTGCGAGCCACATCACCATGCAGGCCTCTTTGGTGTGCTTCGTGTGCCTGTGCGGCATGTGGGCGGTGGCCGAGCCGCAGATTGGAGGGCTCCTGGCAGGCGGTGCCCAGACCATCGGCCAGGCCGCAGGCAGCATCGCCGGTGCGGGAAACGTCGGAGCGGGCGGGTCTGAAACGTATGTATTCGCTGGTTCCGTTAGAAATTAGCTAGGAAACTTGAAGGAAACTTAAATGTTCTTTCACTATAAAAAACACAAAAAAAAACCAAACAAAAAAACAGTTTGGTTATTGTATTTAGAAATTGTCGATAAATTACAAATAATTAATTGGCCTTGGAAACTAAAAATTAGCCATAACAACGAAAAGTTTATCGTAGGCGCTAACGCATTAGGCAAGGAAGAGAAGTTGGGACTTGCCGGGACAAAAAAGGATTAGTGTTAAACAAAAGTATACATTTTTTGTCGCTGCGAGTGAGCTTTAGGACCGGGTAATTCAGAGAAGACGCAAGTGTGAGGGGTGGGGGTTGGGTTTGCCGACCGAAGGGTCCATTGCGCATTACGGGCAGAGGAGTATGCAAACCCGCCCACCTGCATCTTCTCTGAATCAACTGGTATGTGGCTCGTGATGTTCGTTTTATGAGCTAAAAAACATTGAAGTCATGATATTAACCCAATTATTAATTCTGCACTGGAAAAGCAAAAGTAATGCCTACTAAAGGGTGCATAAGTTACTTTGGCCAAGTAGAGAAATTTGTCCAAGTAGAGTGAAATTCAGCACCTTCTGATGGTTTTAATGTTTATCTAGGGTTGCTAATTCTTAACATTCTTTTAGTCCTAAGTGTGGGCAACTGTTACTTTCTCGGCTCCGTCAGAAATTCCTTTTTTGTTTTACGTGTTTGTCGTCCTGCTCGGTCACACTGACAACGAATTTTTCTCTATACATTGTTTCAGCTACGAGATAGATTCGCCACTCCTAGGGCACATTAAGGTGCATAAAGAAGGCCAGGTTGGTGCCAGTAGCGCGGTCGGAGCACAGGCTCAGGGCCTGACGATGGGCGCCGTGCAGCAGACGGCTGCCTTGCCCGTGGCCCCAGGATTCGGCCAGCCCATCGGCCAGACCCTTGGCCAGCCCTTCGGCCAGCAGCCCTTCGGTGGGGTATCCGCAGGCGCGCCGACGTCCCCGTTCTTCTCCGGGTAAAGACTGTCGAGGTGTGTGCGTGGGAGAGATTTCCGGACTAGATGAAGCGCAATCGAGAGTCTTATCCGCCTTAATTTAAAGTGCAAGCGTAAACAAATACCAAAGAAAAATTGTTCTAAAAATATGTTGAAAAGGCACGTGCCGAGTTGTTGCGCGTTTGTCTACTAGTCTGGACCGAAATGGAAATTGCATCGACGTCGACCCACGCTGTCGTTAATTCAACCTCGATACCTCTATTTTGAGTGACAAAATTGCTTTTTAGAACAATGTCGACTTCGATTCTACGTCGAGCGATTTCCCATTTTGGCTGGGATTTGTAAGCCCCCATTAAATCCATTAAATCACCTAGTATGGAAGTCATTTCTAAAAATTGTTTGCGGGTGCATTGCAGAAGGCGAGCGCAGCGGCGGGCAAGGCGTCTCTTCCACAGACTGAGACTGAGGGGCAACCTGTGACTCAACAGTAAAACAATTGAGGAAACATCTTAAACAGAGCTCGTGTTCGCTCTTCCTTCCACACCCTTCCTCTGAACACACGCACTTCCTTTCCTTTTCTGCCAGTGGAGGGGGAAAGGGGGGGGGGGGTTCAAGCAATGTCCTACCTGAAATGCTGGAGTGATGTATCTCGTCTGTAAACAGTTGCGGAATTTCTCGTTGCCCAATTTAAGCGATATCTATTTTCGTCGCTCGATCTAAGTGATGACGATGGGAAAATACCAGTCCATACCAGAGGTGGCACACAGAGAAAATGGTTCCATTGAACTAACGGTAGTCCCCTTCTTATTCCAACGGAAATTTCCGTTCATATAAACATGCTAGAATTTTAATTTGAAGGAGCTTTCTTTGTTTTAAAGGATGATTCTTCACCCTATGGCCATTTTTCCTTTAAAGCATATGCAAATCACATGAATCAAGAGAAAAATTCTAGCATAACATCAGACATAAAATCAACGGAACCGTTTTCTGGGTGCAGGTGGCTGCGCACTTTTTTGTAGTTATACTGTGCGACATGTACGCGTGCGGGTGGGTTACCTACTCGCACGTGGTAGCAAGGATCCGTGGTAGACGAGGATACGCACACCCTCCCGCACCCATGCGAGGGGGAGATCACTTCAAAAATCAAATCAAAAAGTCCAAATGATATCAAGAAATCAAAATGAAATCACAAAAAAATCACGAAAAAGTCAAAATGACATCAAAAGAATTAAAATCAAATCAAAGAGCTCAATATAAAATCAAAAAATAATCGTAAATAAGTTTGAATCTAAGTAACCTAATCGGGAAAAAATCAGAATAAAAGGAACTGAAATAAGTCAGAAAAATAATGAAAAAAAGTCAAAAAAGCAAAAAGAAAAGTCACTTTACGTTAAATCAGTGTACACATTTCCAATGAGTGATCCCCCCTCGCACCCATGCGGTGCAGTATAACTACGAAAGCCCGCGGCGTGAGTCAGACACCTGGATGGTTTCGAAATCATCGCTCGAGCTGAGCTACGAGCGACGGCCGACATTCAAATGAAGGAATGTTCGCAAATCATCATTAGAATATAGTGACGAAAGCAACTGTCTCTTTCTCAGGAGAAACATAAATGTATCGTTCCTCCTACACCCTCTACAAGCCCTTATAGCGCCTGGTAGGCAGGCAAAATTTTTCCTGCATGCATGTGTGTAATGCGGGCAGCCTACCCTGCGCCTCGCAGGCGCCGAGACGATCCGGTTGCCACACAGTCTAAACGGAAATCTTGTTTAAATTCACGACACCATGTTTCGACTTTGTTTAGGTGGTAGTGAGGGGCCTGGAAAAGGG